CCGGGGGTGGTGAAAAAATTTGAAGTTAAAAATATTTTTCAAACAAACTTAATATTTATGAAGGGAGTGGGGTTGGTTGGGGGTAGGGGGACGATGGTTGGGGTGGGATGGGTCCAGGGTAGGGTGAAAAAATAAATATTTGAAGTTGAAAATATTTTTTTAAAACAAACTTAATTTTTATTGGGTGGGGATAGGTGGGGAGAGTGATTGGGGGAGAGGGGGCTGGTGTGGGGTGGGTTGCAGGAGGTCGAGGGTGGGGTGAAAAAAATGAAATTTTGAAGTTCAAAATATTTTTAAAAGGGAAAAGGGTCAAATATACCCCTAAACTTTTCGAAAAGGTCTGAATATGACCCCCGTTTAAAGTTTGGTCCATTTATACTCTCGCCGTCCAACTATTGATCCAAATATGCCCTTATGGGCGTTAGTTGGCCACCTCGAAATATCCAACTCATTTTACTTTTCTTTAAATGCCCAAATGAATTTTTCACGTCATTTTAATATTTCAACTTGACATTTATATTATAAAAGAGAAAGGGTCACATATGCCCCTAATAATCCGACCCATTAAAAACACTTTTATGACCATATTTTAAATGACCTATATGACCCCTCTTTTAAATAACTTATACGATCCATATCCGATCCAAAACCCATCCTTTTTAACCCACAACAAATCCCTAATTTCCTAAATTTCATTTTCACTGAAAGAACGTTGCGGTGCTGCTAGGGTTCTTGGAGACTTACACAAATTGCGGCGCTAGGGTTAGAAAATCTACGAGTTGAAGGTAAGTTTTCTCCTTTCAGTAAATTATATATTCGATTAGGGTTACATTTTCTTGTTAGTTAGGGTTATTTAAGTAAAGTCGACGGCATGTGTTGTATTTGATTCCCTTCGCTATCGTAGAACATCCGCAGTTTCTCATCCTAACTCTAATTCAGGAAGCGGACACATCAGCACACCCTCTAATCCAACCTAAGCTAGCAATGGTCCACTTATATCGCCACATCTCATTCTCTTATCTCAATTCAAGAACGCAAACAACCCAAAATTCATGACCATCAGCACAATAACATGCACTATAAGCCAAAGTTTATATTGAATTTAGAGTTTGAAATTTAATTTAAAGTTTAAAGTTTATATTGAATTTAAAGTTTGAAATTGAATTTAAAGTTTAAAATTTATATAAAATACAAAGTCTGAAATTGAATTTAAAGTTTAAACTTTAAAGTTTATAATGGATGTAAACTTTCAAAGTTTAAACTTTAAACCTTAAAATTCAATTTTATATTAATGTTTAAAGTTTAATCTAATATTAAAATAATTAACAATTAAATTTGTAAAATGACAAGAATTAAATAGAAGAGACTATTTTAAAAGAAAATCAAGGCGAATAGTTGTATATTTATTCATATAAATAAGTTGTACAATACAAATATTAGAAAGAGATAAAGAGTACATACTCTAGGTATTGAATAATAAATATTGTACTAACAATTGCATTTTCTTAAATTATTTTTTGCAAATTTAGTATCATTTCAAAAGAAAGATTTTTTTGAAACTTGCATTTGTCGATCTTCTTCAATTGCTTCCATGTATTCATCACTATTCTCATCAAATATTTCATCTATTCAGTTCCTTACCTGTCGGAAAAGAACCGGTTCAACCAATTTAAAATTCTATTGAACCAGTACCGGACAGACCGGTAAGGGAATCGGACTAGACCGGACGGACGTGTAAGGGAATCGGACCTGACTGGACGGATCGATAAGGGAATCGGACCGGACCGGACAAAAATCGATCCATTTGCCACTCTTATTTTGACTAAATCATTCGGTTAGGAATGTTTAGAACTACAAAGATACATAGAAGTCCACGGTGAGTGAGAACGCTAGCATCCTCAAACCAAATGTTCTTACCGATGACTCCATATCCTATGTCATCTAAATGAAACATCGATGCAACAATTGATCAAATCAGTTTTTGTTTGAAGGATAAAGCCATTGAATTGAGCTTTCCGGTAACGATCCAAAAATGAACGTGATGACACTCGTCTTATTCCACCAAGATAAATCAACCTAAAACTTGACTATTACAATAAAATGCGGAAATTAAATAAGTTACTCAAAAGTATCCCAAAATTTGGTTGTCACGTGTACAAACTTCTAAAGTATTTCAATTGATTCGAGAAAAAAATGAAAAAAGGTATATTTATAGTGTAAATGAGTTAGAAAGGAGTGGAGATATTTTTTGACCGTTTTGGGCCCCATCCCAACGACTAAAAGGGCCCAACAGTCAAATTAATGGATACTTAAAAAAAATTAAAAAATTGGGTAAATCGGTTCCTTACCGGTTCAACTGGTAATGGACAAAACGGTGCGGGAACCATACCGAAATCAGACCAGATCGGATAAAAAATGATCCGTCTACCACTCTTATTTTTGCGTAATCATTCGATCAAATATGTCTGCAACTACAAAGATACACTGATATCCACCGTTAGTGAGAACTAACGCTAGCATCCACAAACCAAGTGCTCTTACCGATGACTGCATATTCCTTGTCAGCTAAATGAAACACCGATGCAACAATTAACCAACTCAGTTTTTGTTCGAAGGATAAAGCCATTGAATTGAACTTTTATTTTTCTTAGCAAGATAGAATATGAGTGATGAATCAGAAGCTTTACAAAATTTGAACGAAAAAGCATTTTCGAAATCCAAAATTTTAAACAAAAAAGCTATTTTCGAATTTCCCGCCTAAACCAAAATTATGAACAAAGATGTTTCGGATTCCCGCTTAAACCAAAAATTATAATGGAAATCTATAGTGTATTTTAGGTACAACTGAAATTTATCCCTAAATACTACTAAAAATAGGAATTAGTGATAGGTCAAATTTTATAATTAACTAATAAAAGTCATGGACTTAAAGTTCTGATTTTATTTTTCTTTAAATAATCTATCATTTCTTTATTCAATAATTTATCATTTAGGAGTAGATTTATAATAGTGTAAATACAATGATAGTTTATTTAACGTTCGATGAGCAGAATCAATAATATTAAAAAAGAGAGTTAATTAAAATATAATGATATATATATATATAAAGTGTTTTAAGATTTATCATTACTAACATGTAAAGTGAATGATAGATAATTTAAAAATGCGTCTAAAGTCATAATATGACAGAGTAGCTAATTTTCTTGGTTTTTTCAAAAATATCCCTACAAAAACATTTTTATTTTGAATTGGCACAATACATAAACATACATTTAATTCCACTGTCATTTATATTCTTCAATTTTGAATGTGCACACGTAAATATTTATATCGTATTACATGTAATACATGATGAATGTGAATTCACGAGATGTGGCTCAAGGTATGTACAAACCAATCAAACATCACCCAAGAGAGCCGTTTTATGTCATAAAATAGGTACTTCACATTATGTGATACTTTCTTTATTCACTGAATATACAATTTCAAATTTTATGACAAGTAAATGAACACGCTATGCAGAGTGATTATTCTTCAAACCATCAAACCAAAAGTCTTACCGTCTTGGATTGCAAACCCTACTTGCAGTAAACATACAAATTTATCGACCATTTACTTATCCAATTAAATATTTTCATTATCTTCATATTCATTGCGTAGAAGTTACGATGACGATCTATAAAGCCAAGTAGACATGCTCATTTGACAAACAATTAAGTTGCTTCCATGAAGCTTCACAAGACATTGTCACATACTATTATATTAACGGCTGGAAATTCTTATTTGAATGCATAAAATATGAAACAAGAAAAACATTTATGACTTTACAAAATACAAAATCAAATTTCCCATCTTAGAGTCAAAATTATATATTTGTCTTCAAACATTTTTACACCGTTTAGTTATTATCCACTAATTGCATGCCACCTAGCATTCCATGTTTTTTTTTTTTGGATCCTTTAAGATTTCGTGTATAATTCAGAACCATAGAGGTTCAAAACATGGGTTAAAATCACACAATTATGTTGTGATGATCGGGACTGCTTCAATCTTAATCAAACGTTTCGAGTTTGAATCCATGCAAATGAAAAAAGAATATGTTGAAAACGCTACGCTCAAAAATAAATTAGATAATGCGTGAATTTAGTTGACTCTACTATAAATAATGAACATCTAATGAAAACTTAAAAAATTAACAACCTAGTCACGTAAATTTCACAAAACTTTATTTAAATTGTTTTGATTTGTATCTTAATTTGATTATACACGAAATTAATGATGCAAAAATACATGTGAGAAAAAGAAAAGGTTCAAACTCCAAAATTGAAAAAAAAAATCAATTGATCAAAAGGGCACCACTTGGCATATGGATATGATCAAGATTACAATGGTAGACCCTACATGAAGAGAAAGAACCACTAGAATAGTAGATACAGATCTCCAAACTGATGGGATAAATAAATAAAATAAAATATTGGAAACAGATATAAATGATAAAGTTATCTTCATATTACGTATAGATTACAACAAAGAGACGTTCAATAACAACAGACTTTTTCCCTTTAGCGACAATATATATTACCAAAAATACATTTAGCAGCACTTGAGTTAATATGTATCACTATATTCAGAATCACTGAAACATTTAACAATATTAATATAGAGTGTTGGTTACAAATATTCTAATTTATTATTGCCGTGAAATCCATTATATGTTATAGTTATATCATATTTAAATTAAGGCACACCATTCGAACGCAACACTATTCGATTTATATTATCAGACTTTTTTAAAAAAAATAAATAAAATATGTGGACCATTAAAAAATCAAGAAGAATCTTTTATTTTTCAAGTAAAAAATTTGAAAAAAACCAAAATCCAATAAAAAGAAGAAAAAAGACAATCAAAAGCTAGCAAATACAATTGTGTGGCTCTAAATTTGCCTCTTCATTACCACTCAAAATACAAACCAAACATAAAAGGCTACAAAAATTACAACAACAACCTACCTTCATAAACCACACAAAAAAATCTTATAACATAAGCTCAAAAACCCCCCTTAGCTCCATTATCATCACTTTTATATTCAAGAATATTATTTACTACTAGTAGTCCTAAGAAAAAAGGTTATTTGAATGGCAATTACAAGTTCAATTGCAACAACTTCATTTTCTTCATGTGTTAGTGGTGAAGATTATGGTAAGTTTATGAGGAAAGTGCAACCATTAATGAATGTTAAATTTGGAAAGGCAGTGAGATCAAGGATAATGATGGGTAATGTTAATGATGGAAAAGGATTATTTGCACCAATTGTTGTTATCACTAGGAATATTGTTGGCAAAAAAAGATTCAATCAACTTAGGGGCAAAGCTATTGCTTTACACTCTCAGGTAATTTATCATTTGCTCGATATCCGTTATTATCCATCAGCATAGATGTCGTATAATTTTAAATGTCTATCGAGTGCATATGAGCAGAAATCATTTTGTTTTTGAAGAAATTTTATGTTTTTCATTCATAAAATTGTCTACTAACAATTTTTGTCTTTGCTTATATTGTTTTTGGGTAGATCTAGTCTTTCTTTAGTGTTGATATTATTGAATATGATCTATGAAAGTTCTAATTTGGGGATAAAGTCAATAAAAATAGCAAAGTTAATTGGTGAAAAATGATGAATTGTAAATTAATTTGTGATGTTCAAATTGAGAATTAGATATATAAGTTTAGTCTATTTGGACTGATTTTGGATTTATGACAAGAATTTTCAAGTGTTATGCATTTAAAATCATTAATTCTTAATTTAATATTAAGTCTAAGCTTAGAGGTTTTAGTTCTCAAAATTCTAGTTTATTGTTCTAAACAAGTAGGTTAAGCTTTTCAATGTTGGATTTGACTAATATATGTCATGTAATATTAAATTTATTTCATTTACTTTTTCAAAAGTAAACTTGAAAAAAAGTAAACAAACTCAAACAATTCATAAAAGATTTCAAAGAGGACAATTTGTTAGTATGTTTCTCAAGTTAAATGTGGTATTTGAGTCTCCAAAAAGGATAAAGGCCAAGAGGTCACAATTTCAATGGTAATATCAACCACCCATAGTAGTGATGGGCTTGTAGGTAACCCCCAACCCCCATCCCACTACCCCACTCTTCTACTTACCTAGAGGTCTGAGGTACGAGCCTCTGAAATGAAATCGCCTTGGGTAGGGACTACGCGTTTTATCTCTAAAAGTGGAACTTCCGAACACGAATCTGCTAGATTAGTTGGGTACCAATTGCAAGTATTCTTAACTAGATGTCTGGAGTTCGAGTCTTGAAAATGAAATTTCCTTTGATAGGGACCATTTTACACCTAAAGAGGAACTTCCAACACTCGTCCACCAGATTAGTCAGGTACCAATCGTAAATACCCCTCCCCCTATCCTTAACTACAGGTCTGCAGTTCGAGTCTTTGAGAATGAAGTCACCTTTGATAGGAACCATTAGATTATTAAACCCTAAGGTGGAACTTCCCGGTGCGGAAACCAAAGCTAATGTTGATGGATTTGTTTGATCAGGTAATCACAGAGTTTTGCAAGTCAATAGGAGCAGATCAGAAGCAAAGGCAAGGATTAATTCGATTGGCAAAGAAGAATGGTGAAAAACTTGGATTTCTTGCTTGATGGATGGCACAAAATTAATCATTATTGCCAATGTGTTATGATCAAATAGCTATAGCCTCTTTTGTGTAATTGAGACAAATCAATCAGATACAACTTTAATTTTATGTATTATTCAAACATATATATATGTGCTTTGTAGTCTAGAAAATGTTGTCTTCATGATTTCAATTTTTAACTTTTCACTCGAAATTGGTTAAGTATTAAACTTAAATTGTCGCGTGGAAGAGGAATTTAAATTAAAAGACCTAAGAAATAAATTTCTTTAACGTCTAGGTTTTGGTGAACGAAGGCACATCACACCCGTATTTGAGAGACATAATATATAAACAGACCTTAGCTGACAATTCTACTATCATAAAATTAAACAAATAAACATACGTAGAAAAACTCACACAATTTGGGATGTTTAACCATGTGAGTCTACGCGTTCAACTTTACTTTATGATAATTTAAGTAAATACTTGGTGCATTTCTATCTACGTTCCTCCAAAATTCTATTATACAAGCACTAAAGAGGCTCATTTTGAAGCATTAAATTACCCAATGAATCGACTAAGCTTTCTCCCATAGAGTCTACTTGAGATATAAAGTGATACCACATAAATAACAAACATCAGAACAAAATCTTTAATGCAATACATCCAAACATACATCAAGTTCGAATAAATTTCAATAAGATCAAAATTTGCAGCAGACAAGCGCAAAAAAGTGCTAATCGTACAATTTCAGTATTGGTAAAGAGCTTAAGGAGTGGTGTTAATTCCACACGATAAAGAAATTTCACACAGTATATCGGCTCTTAGCTGACCTCTCTCTTTTAGAATCATCCTGCAATGACCAAAATAATACGTTGATTAAGAAAGAACGAACATCAAGAGGAAAGATAAAAGACCATTGAATTTGCAATAATTGTAAGTGATGAGAGGGAAGTTACATGGAAACTATAGGATATCTTTTCGGCATCAATGATCTCCTTCCACTTCCTACCAATGCCCATCTACAACATAGAACAAACCAGTTATTTATAAAATGCAAAACCATGGAGCATCACGCCAGGAGGCAAAACAGTTCTTCAGACTACAGAGATGTTAGAAGACCAAAAAAAGGCATACATACGTGATTACAGACAATACAAGGGAATAATATACTAAAGAGACCTGAAAAACCCCTAGTTGAGCAATGTAAAAGAATTTCAATTCACAACTTGTGTATTACAATGCTGTAAGATGAACATGTACATAGGATTACTAAACGGAGAATGACGAATACTTGGGGAAAACATTCAAATTATACCATCTTGGGTTTAGTATCAATGTGCTAATTTCATACATCAAGAGAAGTTAATGCATAGCAAAACTATCACAGCACAATTTGGTACTTAAGCAATCAGAATGTTGTCCCTTCCTCAGTTTACTATCATCAGATGATACCGGTTTCACCACAGTAATCCAGGCTGTTGAGTTATATAGTTCTTACATGGATCATGGGAGGGCATTCAAAGGGTTAAATGAAAGACATGAGCTACTTTAGTCATTTCTTTGATCTTGGGCTACTTCACAAATGACCTAAAGAGTTTATGGTTGGATACTCAAATTGTTTGACATGGTATCAAAACTTAACCTTCACAAAACTCATATCTCACTCTTGTACATCAGATGGTGCAGTGTTAATAGTGTTTCACATGGGAAGTAAATTAGAAAGAAAATTATAAAATCTTTAGCTACATCACCCATAGCTAAATCTTCATGCTTCGACTTAAGAATTTAAAGATCCTTTGAATCATATACGCGCTATAAAACATGACCACACAATAATTTAGATTTCAAGACACATTTTAAGGGGTTTAAAGAAGAGCTCAAAGCAGCAAGTTGAATATGAAGCAGATCTAGATGCATATACATCCATAGAGCAGTGCAAGGGACAAGTGCCCAGAGCAAAGTGTTTTTTATCAGAATGCCTAAAGACAGAACAGAAATCAGCGATAAATAACATGAACAAAGCCATAGAGAAAGGAGGTACCACTACAACAAGCAAAAAAAAACATCTGCCGGAATGGTTAAAGAACAAGCGAAGAGAAATATATTAAGGACTTCCATGCCAGGAAAAAGAATAAAAGCTTCTGATCGGGTAATTTAAATTATATATTTAATAATCAACACCAGTGTTTCGTCCATAGGACGGAATGGGAAAAGGCATTTTCTCTTGATCTCAAATTTGGTGCTCAAATAAAGTCGCTTTTCCAGCTCTTAACAAAAAAAATAAATTAAAAAAATGGAGATAGGTCATATCAGCATTAAGAAAAAATTTAACGCAGCACAAGAACATATAAATTGAAATTAAAGAGAAAAGTCATCAAAATTCCTGCAAATGTATGTGTTTCAAGTACTCTGGTATATCATTTTCTTAAATAATATTAATAAATAAATAGCCAAGGTTTTTGAGAAACTAAACATAGATCTGTCATCTGGACCATCTTAAAGAATATTTCTTATCACATTTCAGAGATAGTGGAACAATAACACAGATTTCAGTTCTGAAGCTATATAACACCAGAGATAAAAAAAAACACCTGAGCTGCTTCATTGGTGGCTGTCTTAGTCCACAAGGAAAGTTTATCCTGACTCCTACGCACACTAGCAACCACCCCACATATATCTTCTGACTCATCAAATTGCTCGCCGACCAATGCCATCAGCTGTTTAAAAGAAGCACATCCAACAAACAATACATGAGCATCTTTAGCAAGAAAACTAATCAAAACATCACTTTATATGATATAACATACTAAATACAGAACGGACACCAAATGGTAAAGAAGAACTATTACTGTTTCTAGCCACATAGTCTCGAGATTAGCCTTTCTGCTGCTAGTAGCAGTCCACTTGCCACCATTGGCACACTCAGGATCTTCCCATTTGGGCTCAATCCCAGCTTTGAACAAATGAAAGTCCGCATTAACAGTAACCTTGCTGGGCTTGAATATTTGATCATATAAACTGCAACGAGGACAATCCACATTTAAGATAAGCTTCTACCCACCATTCTTTCTAGACCATAATACCTCATTAATCAATCAAAATCAATCCATACAACATATAGGAAATTTATGAAATTTAATATAAACAAGCACTTCATTTCGTTAATAGTGCACTGCTTTCATGGACAGTGATTTTAAGAAGCCAATTTCACTTATAATTACAGTAGTAGTAGTTGAAGAATATTAGAAATAGAACATTGCAGATACTAATATTATTCTCTAAAGGAACAAACTTTTTCAACATCACAAAATAGAGACAGGGTCATAAACCTGCTAGGAGGCACAAATTCAATCAGTAATCAGCAGAAAGAGCTCTCTGGTGAAGATCACATATACTATTAGATCAACATACATCAAAGCTATCTTAATTGACAGTTAAAAAACAAAAAAATCCTCAAACGCAATCAATTAATCACATTAAAAATCCAAATCCGGGCAAATTTAGGTTCAGTTATATTAGAAAAAATGATTTCATCAGAAATATGAATATCAATTTGTAATACAAGCCATAGATAGGGTTTCCACAATTTACGAGCACAAATCTGAATAAACATAACATGAAGAATCTATAAAAATATCTCGTTCCTATTATACATAAACGACATATTTTACCTCCAGAATTCCTCAACAGTTTCAAAAGTATAAGCTTTTCGAAGAGAACTTCCCCAAGCGACGCCTTGTTTCGGTTTAGACTGGTTATCGAACCAGAACGTCCACTTCCTCTCTAGCTTATGCGGCTGCTTCTCCACAGTCTCCGCTGCCGCTACCGACGGAATCTCCGTCGCCTCTACCGGTGCTTCGGTGGCCATTGTTTTCCCGTCAAAATCCTCTCCTTTTGTATAGCTTTTTCACGACGGAGAGGCGTAAAGGAATTAGAAAGAGAAACAGGTTTTGGCGATGGAGTTGTAATTTATACAGGCCCAATTGATTGATGTTAGTGGGCCTTGTAGCTAAAAAAGCCATGGAAAGATTAAGCCCATGGTTGGTGATAGAATGGGCCAACATTTTGTTTTATTTTTACTTCAAAGTCGAAAAAAATTAAGTCGATCTATAAATAATTTTGAGGGGCGTACTCAATGTCTTGTATGATAAAAATGTATAATAAAGATAGAACGGTAGATTATATAAAGTAGTGGTCAGATTGACTATGTTGTATGAAATGAAGTGTTGGGCCGATTCGAAGATGTAAGTAGAGAAAGTGAGGATATGGAGATGAAAGTGTGAACATGCTAGTACAAATAGGATCATGAAAGAAGATTTGCATGAATAAGATGAAAATCGCTTCCGTGATGAGCAAGATGAAGAAAGAGAAATTGAGATAATTCAAGCATATGAAGAGGAAATGCATAATTATTTCAATAAGGAGTTGTGAGATACTGACTATAGTAAATATGGATAGAGGCGGAGGTATGTCGAATAAATATTGAAGAGAGGTGATTAGACAGAACATGACACATATTGCAGCTTATCGAAGACATACCCTTAGATAAAAGGATATGAAAATAAAAAACTAGTGTATAATATTAACAGGTATTCAAGCATCGTCTAGTTTCTCCTATTGATATTGTACATTTTTGTTACTTTTCAATTTTATTACACGTTAGTTTCTTTGCTTCGATTAATAAATTATTTATTGTTGTCGCTATACTCTTCTCCTTCATTTTCTTACTTTTCTTCGTTATATATTTTTATTTTCATATTTCACTTTGAAATGTTTTATGTTAGCATTGATTTAGCAAAAATAATTTCTCTATGTTGCATAAGATAACCATAAAGCTTAGCACATAATATATATACCCTTCTCAAACCTTACTTATTATCTAATATATATACCCTTTTCAAACCTTACTTATTATTAGTATAAATTAATCAATTTAAATATAAATCGAACTAAACGGATCATATTTTTGACTGATACGTGTCATAAGCAGCACTAAAAACTGTAAAAAGCCACTTGTAACCTTTACAGAGGCTCCATTAATTCCCTCTTAATTATTTCACTTGTAATTAAACTTTGTTGATTTGATTAAATTTTATAGTTTGGTTAAAGTAATAATAATTATAAGAAATGGCAGAAACAACAATTACTGGTGGAATGGATCAGAGAAATTCAGCATTAACAACAGAGGCAACTCTTGCCCCAATCACTATACAACACAAAGTTAGAACTGACTTGGAAACTTCTATTCCAAAACCCTGTAAGTTTTTTTTTTTTCACGTAACACTGCTTCGTCGATCTTTTTAATACTACTATATTAGAGGCGAAATCAAAATTACGAGTTTAAGAGTTTCAAATTTTAGGACGGAAGAAAAAAATATTGCAAAACATTGCTTCATCAGTACTGTTGTGTTGATAGTTTCATCTGAGCTGTCAATCAATTTTATTAACGGTTCATAATAACAAAATTGAGTGCTACACAACAAAATGATTTGTGAAATCAAATAAATGACTGAGTTTTTAATCGATCACTTTGGTAATGAAGTTATTTTGGATACATTTCAAAAGATGAAATTATTAAAATGTGACATCGCTTATAAAACTCGAAAAAATATTCAGATATGGCTAGGGGTTTGGTTGCACCAGACATGGATCACCCCAATGGAACTTCTGGCCACAGTCACAATGGCATGAGCGTTCTTCAACAGCATGCAGCTTTCTTCGATCAGGACGATAATGGCATTGTTTATCCATGGGAAACATACTCTGGTAACTTATCGCGCTAGTATATAATTCAGTTCTTGTCGTCTAGAATAATTGAATTCTATATTTTTCGTCCTGGTTTTGAACAGGGCTTCGTCAAATTGGCTTCAACGTGATCGTGTCATTCATCGTAGCTATTATGATCAATTCTGTCTTGAGCTATCCTACTATCCCGGTAAGTTTGAAACAGAGTGATTCGTACTGACATGCATTTGATTTGTGAGTTCAATTAGCCAAATTCGATGTAATGTAATGGAGGCAGAGTAATTCCCCTGTTTTATGCTCGTGTGCATTGTGTTTCTATGTCTCTACGAGTTAGGGGTAAGGTCTAGGTACAGTCTGACCTCCTAAACCTCACGTTGCGATAGTAAATTGTTAATTTGCAGGGGTGGTTTCCTTCTCCGTTACTTCCAATCTACATTCATAATATACACAAGGGCAAACATGGAAGTGATTCCGGGACCTATGATAGAGAAGGCAGGCAAGTAAATATACGTATGAATCGTTTTGAACTCCTCGTGTTACAACCTTTCTGAGTATCATGAGTTAATAGTGTGTGGATTGATTGTTCCTTTAGGTTTTTGCCAGTGCATTTTGAGAACATTTTTAGCAAGTATGCTCGAACTGTGCCTGATAAGCTTAGTTTTGGAGAATTGTGGAATATGACTCAAGCCAATAGAGATACATACGATTTTCTTGGCTGGTGAGTTGTTATTCAAACACGTAACAACTTATTTATCTCCAATACTTGGTGCATAAGTTGCTTAAACGCGTCAAGCCAAATGAGCTATAGCTCATTATAGTTGTTTTAACCATTTTTTTTTTTGTCTTTTGGTTTGATTTGAAGGATTGCTTCAAAATTGGAATGGGGACTTTTGTATTTACTTGCTCGAGACGAAGATGGATTCTTATCGAAAGAGGCTATAAGGCGATGCTTCGATGGGAGTTTGTTCGATTATTGCAAGGCACAAATGGGAGGTGACTATGCTAAGCAAGAATAGGTTCACTTAGAAGTATAAGTCCTAGTGTTTTTTGATATAAGATGTTAAAAGATTAAGCGATTTTTCGTCTCACGGTCAGAGGATCTTACATCTTATCATTCCATTTTGTCTTTTCAAAGACTTGGCCGAACAAGCTAACTATCTCGAACAATTCAGAAATATGTATTTTCCTATGATTTTATCACTCCCATTAAAAAAAAAATTGACCTGTTTTGATATGCTTTTCTTTGAATCGAGAATCTATCAGAAACAATCTCTCTACCTCACAAGGTAGAGATAACACTCTATCCTCTCGAGATCCCAGTTAGTTAGTTGGTATGATGTTATTGTTGTCAAATAAGTTAACAATCAACTACTAGTAAATTGCATGTTAAGTAGAAATTTGTATGAATCATCTTTATTTTTGTATATTTACATTCTTAAATGTTCACATGCACCTTTAGGTTGTGTAGTAGTTGACAATTGCTTGCTCCAATAATTGTCATATTTAGTGTGAAATCAACCAAATCATCAAAGATTCTTCACAAAATTATTCTCCCAACATTAATCCACATCACAAAAAACAACATATAACATCCAAGAAATCATTTTCTTTTCCTCACAAAAACTTGACAAATTTACAAGTTCATAATCAAGCAACATAGTACATTGGATTTGGAAGTTTGAATGATCTTTTTGCACTTGGAAGACCATTAATGCTACTCCATTGGTCTCCAATAATGCCAACAATTCTATAACCTTGACTTATAAGTTTACTTCTTATCTCTGCCTTGAATGTCTGTGCATTCTTGCATTCATCTTCTTGATCTCTAAAATATTTACTTAAAATATAAGTACCAATTGTAAACATAAAAATAAAAAAATGATTTTAAAAAAATATATTCAAACCTTAGTATGAGGCTATTCCATCCATAGAAATCAACTTTGACAAGATTGTCGACAGTGGCGGATCTAAGATGTTCTCTTCTCGAAGAAACAAGAAAGATTTGAACTCCTAGTTCTTTAAGATGATTGAACAACTTTAAAGAATGTTCCAATGCTGTTCCTTTCCCTTGGCTCATCCAATCCTCCAAAGATGTCACATTTAGCTTATTTCCCCTATTCCACCAACAGCAAAACAAAAAAGCATAAGCAACAATCGATGAATATCGAGCCTTAACTCAATCATAAAAGCTAGTTCACGATCTGAGGATTATTTAATAGATCAAATACCCATCGATCCCACAATCATCGTGGGACAAATTCAACATCCCCCATGCTAGACTCGACATGGTCTGTCAACTTAATAGTGGATAACATAATATGAAACTCAACATCAGGTACACTAGAATTTGGATGAGTCTAGCTCTAATATCATGATAACAAATGAATCTTTTGCAAAAAGAGTATGTAGCTGTATATATGACTAAAAGATTATGATCCTTACATCTTACTAGTAAAGAGAAATCCATAATTCTCAACTTGAAAAGTTAATTCATAAGGTGACAAGGATCGTCTAAGATCATTTATTAAATCTCTATCTCACAAGTCATAAAAAAAACTCAACAGATAGTATAAGAGGTCGATCATAATATACATTGTTAGCGTAAAAAACGTAAATTATCACTCTTTTTCTCAATAGATAGTATAAGAGGTCGATCTGAATATATATTGTCAGTGTACAAAACGTAAAATATCACCCAAAAAAAGGAAAAAAAATGACAAAACAAAACTTACCCAAAACCATTTTTCTTGTAGTAAGGAACTGAGGAAAGAAGAGTATCATCAATATCAAAAATCCAAGCATCTTTTCCATCATTTTCCAAAATACAATTAGTACTAATATAAAGTATACATTCATTAATAGTTCTTTCAAAATCAACTTTATATTGAGTAGAAGTCATATATTTTCCAATATATGCAACACATTCTTGAGGAACAACAACATAATCTCTAATGTTGTGTAACTCAACATTCATTCTCCAACTCTCACAATAATTTTTTAGGCTAATTTGGAGACCACTATTGGTTTTGTGTTGTGACAAAATGTTCCAATCTCCAAGACATGAAGTTGAAAGAATACAAAAAATTGTAAAGAAAATTCCAAATTTTCTTGCCATTTTTTTTGAGATTTGAGAAAGTTTGAGTTTTAGTTGATTTTTATGGAGCTACTTATTGTAAAAGGGGGGGACTAGTGATGAATTTTGAAAATGGAAGGGGTCACATGGGTGATGGGAATTAGTTGGCACCATGTATATTATTTTGTCCTTAATAAAACATGATCTATAGGGTGGTAGATTGATTAAATTATGTCAATCAATGGTGTCATGAAACTTTATTCTATAAATTTTACTCCATTCATGTGATAATCAGCGTAATTTTATAAATAAAATTTTAAAAAAAATAAAAAATAAGCGAATTTTTATCTTCTTTTTATATGATTAAAAGATTTTTTTATAAAAAATTCTCGACTAAAAAAGAAATATTGTAATAAATATACGTCGAGTTGTAGGAAGGAATAATATTTATTTTATTTTATTTTTTTTAAAAAAGGCGTAAATAACAACAAAAATTTCAAACCAAATAGAAATTTATAATTATTATTAGAAATAATATTTGTCATATGGGTGCCACTAGAGAGTGCAACCTAATTGGCATATATCAACATACAACTATCTCACATGGAATTAAACCTAATCAAATTTAAATCCCCAACCAAACCCTTTCTAAATACTTAATTACAATATTCCTTGACATATTTATGTTAGAAACATATTCCATATCCACACATACTTTTTTGTCTGTGCACTCCCCTTCATTATATTTTTATTTTGGCGTGACGTTCGATATTTATTCAGAAATTTAATAATTAAAATATTTTAGATGTAACTAATTTATATATGTAAATTATTTGACTTTAACAACATATAAGAAGATCAAATAACTCATTATTCACCATAAATTTGAAAACTCAACCCTCTCCTTTCTCCTTCATAGAGATCAGATATCTGAAGTGTGAACAATAAAAAATAGAGACATATCATGGAGTATTAAACTGGATCAATTTCGATTCAGATAGTAAGTCATGAGGTAAGGATTATCTAAAATTTTGTATAGAGATCAAATAACTCATGATCAATAACATGATAACTCAACAAGATTGAAATAATCCTTATTAAAAATGATGTTATTTCTAAAATTTGAATTCAAAACTTTTGATTGAGGATAAAGAGATGCTTCATCACGTTAGATAGTCCCAAACATTTTATATTATTGAAAAAGTTGTTTCAAGTTTTGTTAAGACCATAAACAATGTACTTTAAAAATATGTTATATTTAGTTAGTAATTAGTAAATTATTTGAAGTATAATAAGTCAATAATTATTTCTTATCACTCTTGATGAGATACGTGGCAGAGTTCCATTGGAGGCTCATTAAATTAATGAATTTGCAAACTTTTATACCTACAAGAGACAAATGTCAACAGATTTAATTATTATTAAAAAAACATAAACCACAAAATTTAACAAATTATAATTTGGAATTAATCAGCAAGTAGGTAGCACGTCTCTTTACACATCTGTACTTTTTTCTTTTTTTTTTTGGTCAACACACCTTTGTCAACTTACAGCTATGTCATGCCATTTCATAATTATTATTTTTCCGTTCGATAATTGATATTTATATTAAAATTTAGCTAATTTTGAAAGTGCTTTTAATAGGATTTATTTTTTTATATTCAGAACTCATATTCAAAAACTTAACCAAGAATGAAAGAATCTCAATTATTTTACCATTACTTAAAATTTGTAAATCGATTTGTAACTCAATTGAGAAATATTAATCGTTTGTTAAGTTTTGTGATATAAACAATAACGAATATAATTGATCTATCTGTTTTTGCTAAGCAGATAGGTACATCATAGATTATAATTTATTCAATCTTAAATATTAATCTTTTAGACCAATTTTAAAATAATTGAAGTTTTTAAATTGGAAAAAGGTCAGTTATTAACGTCTTTTTGCAAATATACTCTTGAGGTTCATAGATATGAAACACGTAATCTCATCATTATAATATTAAAATGAAGCAAAAAATAACAAAATTATTTAACTGACATAATTTTATGGGTAGATATTTGTTCAAATTTGATTGTGATTTGATCTTAATTTGGTTTCAAATTAGAAAACGGCTAGATATAATAAACATAATATTTATAACTCTCAATATATTTCATATGGTACATAATAGCCATTTTAAAATCCGACTAAATCAAAATTCAATGGATGTCCCCTAACAAAGGCAATTCAAACCCAAAGCTTGAACTCAACCATCTTTCCTCGATTATTTTTTTGGACAAGTCTTTCAATAATTACGAAGCTATAATCAAAAACTAAATGAAAAGTAAATGACAGTGATATTTAGTAGCAAAATAAGTGGGTATTATATGAACTTATAAATCTTAGAGCAATACAACATTGCTGCATTTGTTTGTATATATGACAATAACAGCACTCCAAATAAAAGGTATCAAAACTGCAGGTTAACTAACTCTTAGTAGTTCAGACAATTGCATTAGCTGCACTAGCAATCCTTGGCCATAGATCAGCACACTCCTTTCCAATTGGACCAGTGATAGCAGAACCTACAACAACCAAATGCAGCTCATGAACAATTCGTACATCGACAAAATTGTGAAAACTAAACAGTTTAAATTCTTGATATATTAAGTAGATGATATCATTTTCAAAGCTTTAATGGCATATAGTTTAGATAGATACACTTGATGGAGATTAAGCATAAGACCTCACCTTTCATTTCTCCTTTGGGATTCACAATCACTCCAGCATTATCTGCAGAAGCATACAAGACGTGTTATAAGCTCAGCAAAAGCAATGATTTTCGTGCTTGAGAAGTAGAAAACATAACTATTGATACACACTCCACCCAAATAGCAAACTTCTATGCAAATTATATAACTAGCGGATACATGCTACAACTCGAGGAGTACATATATAGAGTCCAAATGGAGCAGATGTAAGCTTAAAAAGGAATCAACACATCTGTAACGATGGACACATCTATTTTCCAGCCATGTAACTGTATCAACCACAGTATAATAAGGTTGTAACCTGACTAATGTCTGGATATGTTTAAAATTCTACACAACAAGAAGATAACATTGAACTCAATTAAAGTAAAGACACTGTGTATACTTAACAATGCTACAAATTGAAAACATATGTAGAGTCCAAATGGAGCAGATATGAGCACAACAGGAATTAACAAATCTGTAACGATGGACACATACATTTTCCAAGCATGTAACTGTATCAACCACGGTATCAGAAGGTTGTTACTTGACTAATGCATGGATATTTAAAAGTTAGACATTGAAATAGCAAGATAATTTTGAAATCAGTTTTTGCAAGGACATCATTTAATATACAACCAAACAACTAAGAAAACAATAGCCCAAGTCGACATATCCCACATATACGTGTTCCAGAATGGAAGAAAATAGATTACTTCATGTTGGGCCCATATGGAGCAGAAAGTGCTTGAATAGTATAAGCACATCTGTAACGATAGACAACATTAATTTCCCAGACTAGTAACTGTATTAACCACGATATGAAATGTTAACACCTGACTAAGTCTGGTTTTCAAAATTAATAAAAATACAAACACATGTTTCTTAATTCATCAGAAACAGCTGCACAAGCAGATATCCTACCTTGATACCTACTCTCAACAAAAACAAGATAAAGAAAGACCTATGGTAATAAAACTTGCAATCAAAAGATACAAATTTGTCCCCTAACACACTTAATCGGAACATTCTTTTAACTGAAGAATTCACTTACTAAGATCATATGCTTCAAAAGTTCAATTTTTCTCTGCTATCTCTGGGTAGTGATCATCTCAAAGTGAGAAATCACAAAAATGAGGCTCATTTGAGGTAATCTAATTCGATTATGAACCAAGATAATGTGATTGGTTAGACTATAACTGTCCATACAAGTGCAGATAAGCTCGTATCCAAAAGACCAACTCACCCTTATGACTTGACACATGCACAAGGTAAAAATTGGATGATTATACTGTCAAACCAGCTCACATTCGCACACTACTTCTACTAAAACAAGAACGAATACCAAGTCCAGAAACAGATCACTGGATAATTGCACCACACCCTAACCAGCAAAACTTATGGAATAACTACTCACTGCTTCAAATTCAGGGAAATGAACAAAGCTAAATGTATGAATAACTATATTAGCAAGGAAATCCAATCACCCTAGAGTAACTCTGATAGATTGATATCCACAAAACCTCAATGTGTACACCAACTAATGTTAATTTTCTCAAAAGATCACATTTTTATAATCATTTCATATAGATACTTCACAACATACTACTATAAAATCAAATGACACCAAATCTGTTGTTGATTCACATAATTCATATAAATTAAAAACGCGAGCTAAGAACACAATAACAAGCAGCTCAAATCACATAACAACCAAAAATCTCAGCTCAAATCCTTAAGCTAGCAGAAAAATATTTACCTTCAAAGTACATGAAAACACCATCCTTTCGTCTCCAAGGTTTACGTTGTCTAACAATGACAGCAGGCATCACTTTCTTCCTCAAATCAGGTTTACCTTTCTTTACAGTAGCCATTACCATATCACCTACACAAGCAGATGGTAACCGATTCAACCTACCCTTTATACCCTTTACTGAAATGATGTAAAGGTTCTTCGCTCCAGTGTTATCAGCACAGTTCACCGTCGCCGCCACCGGTAAACCCAGTGACATCCGGAATTTGTTTCCGGCAGAACCTCCACGCCCTAAACATTATTTTTCAAAAAAAAATTAGGGAAAATTGAAGATAATTAAGAACAATCATCTGAATTTGAAAGCAACATAAAGTATACTGACCTCGCTTCGACATTTTTGGATCCTGAAAGTACGGTACATTAGGGTTTTGCTAGGGTTTTATAGAAATGGCAATTTAGGGTTTTAATTTGAAGAATGTTTGGTTATGGAACTCTATTTGGGCTTTGTCACATACAAATTGAGATGGGCCTGGCCACTTTCTTTAATTTACTTTTGTTTTAAGAGAATGTTAAAACGATACATACGGTTCAATCAACTAGTTTGTTAATGTGAAAAAATATTTAAATACGTAACTTATATTATCATATTCTATTCAATTTAAAAAAATTATAAAAATCTCTACTCTATCCTATTCTCGGATACTCACTTTACGCGATGTATCGAGACGTTGGGTGATGTATCCCAAATTGAGACGTGATGTATCAGGAATGTATCCAAAATCAGGGCACGTTGTATCAGGACGTTTTGGGATGTATTCAAATTTCACCAAATTCCTAATAATACGACCAATACGGATTGTGATGGAGAGGTTATATTTCTTTATTTTTTATTAGGGTCTCGATTTTGAGTCAACTTAATTATGAAGCCGCCTTTGTTAGAGAGCTTTACTCCTCATTGTGAGACTTTTTTATCAGAATTTAAATTTAGTCGGACTCTAATGTAGGTATGAGACATCATATGCGGAAAAAACGAGTTTATTAATATGGCTTATAATATATACCCCTGGTTTCCATTTTATGTAGCATTATTTGACTTGATACGATTTTTTTTTTTAAAAAAAAGTAACTTTTAGAAATTATCATTTATGGATTAATTTGGCATAACCCCAAATAAAATCATCATCAAAATTAATCTGCCGCAAACTAATTAATACTTTAGTAGGTAAGCCAAGTCAAATGATTTTGTTCAATTATTACACCCTCATTATTTAGATTTTATCACTTATTTGTGTAAATATAACCTTGCAAAATTATCCTTCAAAGAAAAAACATTAGACTCACATATTACTCATTATTACAAATAAAAATATTATTATAATGCCAAATATTTGTAATAATTTATACATATTAAAAGTCTAACGTCTTTTCATAAAATTTTTAATTTGCTCGAAATTTAAATGGCGGTCCAAAAACTTCATGAATCATAAAAGAAATAAAGAAAAAAGATTATTTACTAATAATGTGTAGGTAAATTTGAATGTTAGCACACGCGTTAAATACCTAGTTAGGTTAACAATAATAACAATAACATATTATTCAATATAATCTCATAAGTGATGTTTCAGAAAAATAAAATATACATAAATATTATCACCTTTTCGTAAAGATAAAAAACAATAATTTCTGAAGAATTCTCTATTTAATGATACCTAATTAGGTTAATTTCCATATATAGTAAATTATTTGTCATTTATTGAGAGGCCATTCACGAGAGTTTAGCATCATTATTAAAAGAAGATATAGTGGAAAATTAACAAAAAAAAAAAAAGATTATTCCCTCTTCACGCGTTTTTACTATTTATAAATACACTATTTTAGAAAATAAATCCAATTTAAACTTAAACTTTTGTTAGCACACACTTTAACCTAAAAAAAGTAAAGGACAATAAGTTGAAATTGAAAAAAAAAAATCACAAAAAAAGATTATATAAAGTGTAATTTTATAAAGTTAATGGGGAAGTTTTCTATAGTTAAAACAAATGACTAGGACTTTCTCTCGGTTATTAAATATGTCATAATATTTGTATCGTAACAAAATCTTTTCATTCCAAAATAAAATAAAAAAAACTTCTCATTACGGGCATAGAAGTATAAAATTAATTGTTTACAAACTTTAAAACGTGTTATTCATTTTAAACAAATTAAATATGTCAAGTAAACTGAAACACAGAAAATATTTTGAATACTTGATGGAGTTTTTTCGTGTTTTAGTTTCTGAGATTTCGACAAGACTTTCCTAGTTCATAGTTTCGAAAGATATTTACATCTAACAAACCGGAAGTATATGCAAGGGGTTATTTTGAACCTATCCCTAAACATAAAGGACTATTTTTGTAATTTTAACAAACTACAAGGACTTCATGTGTAATTTGTAAAACTTTCAAGATTATAAACTTGACAAACTTAATGTCAAATAATCATACACTATTTTGATTTTCTCATTCTTGTGAGCATTTTTTTCTAAGTTTTTTCATTCCATTTTTTAAAAAAAGAAAATGGCAGAAGCTTTTGTCTCTTTTCTCATTGAGAGAGTTGAAGGAGTAATGAAAATAAACAAAGGTACCATTTTATGTGGTGCAAAAAAGTATGTAAAAGATCTCCAAACAGAACTCAAGAAAATGAAGGTTTTACTCAAAGATGTTGAAGTAAAACAAAAGGAAAACAAAAAACTATGTGATATGATTGATAATATTCGAAGGATCGCGTTCAAGATTGATGATGAAGTAGAAAATTACTACTTTGAGGTAGCAAAAAGTCGAAAAATATGGCTTAAAGGTGTTATGGAACACTATAAGAGGATATATTATGGTAAGCAGAAGAAATTTCAGTTGAGAATGGTTATATATAATAGTCAGGTGAAATGGTATACAAGGAAATTGGAATGTTATGGTGTGAAGAAGATAGTGCATGAAAAAGATTCATGTAAAAAGATCGATGGCTTAGACAGGTGGGAAGAAATTACGACTACAGTTAAGAAAGTGGAGAGTGAGTTTGAAGATGTTGAGAAGTCGAAGCTTGTGAGTGTGTATGTGTTGAATGAGGATAAGGTGATGGAGAAAGCAAAGGTGTTGGTTCAAAGTTTTGAGAGAATTTGATGTTAGTGTCTAATCTTTAACCATGTTTCGATAGAAAAGAGATCATCAGAGTATAACAGAAAATCGATTTTTCTTGCTCGACCTTCGAATATTTTGTTGTTTGTTGACTTTTTTTTTTAATTATTGTTGCATGGTAATTAGTAAGTACTAGACTATTTCTTTGACTATAGTTTAAAGTATTTGGACTTATTGTAAAGTTATTATTTATCTCACTTCATTTTATAATGTGTTTTTCTAATTATAGTTGTTTATGGACTATATTTTGGTGTTACATAGTATGACATTTCTATGGAAGTTTTTTTTAACATGTTAAATTAATAAGAAAATAGATGTATTTATAAAGCTATACCGCGATTACGCAAGGTCGGTGGAAGGAGTCATACTCGTCTAAAGCACACATTCCACATCTCAAAATAGTGACATATAGGTGATACGGAGACAACTTTATACCGTGACACAAACATGGTAGATAATTTTGTCATGACACAAGCATCAAAGAATAATTTCATGGCTCGAACATGTCACAAAGAGACAAGGCTATCCCCTTCAATGCAAACTAGACAATGATTCATGGAAAAGATTTGTGACTTTGTGGTCCCAAAGTCACTAGCTAAATGCAAGGTTTTAGCACAAGAACAATATATTGATGCTCTGAGAGTATTGCATTTTAGCAAAGAAATGTTGTTCAAGACTTTTACCAACCATCAACTCCATGCTTAGAGTTAGAGGTTCGTGCCACACTCACGAGGGACTGAGAAGTTAACGAAGTAGAGAGTTAAATGAGATGTAAGAGTCAAAGGCGAGCCAGAAAGGCTTCTCAGCGTATACTGGGCAAGTATGTATCCAAGAAGTCATATACTCAAAATAAAACATGTTTTTTCCAACATAGTCATGTGCAATCTCATCAACTGGTAGAACATAACATCAGCAGTACTTTTCAGAAAAACTAAAGTGTGCTTCTTGATCGAAGCGATCAACATCATGAGTAAGAAGGAATCTTCATCTGTGTTAACACCAGCTGTTCTTTTCCAGAAATAACAAGACTGTTTCTTGTATTACCTATATCATATCTATATGAGCTATCGATGAGATCAGCATCATCAGTGAGGAGTAATCTTCATCAATGTATACTTCCTAGCTCCTGCAGGTAACGGAATCTGATTAAATATAAAGAAATCGAATGAAGTAGTTCAAAATCAGCAAGTATTTTGAAGTGAAACACGCGTGGGGATGGCTTTAAGTTACTCTATTCTACAACAAATGGTGCACTATGTAAGCATTTCAATGTACTAAAGGCTGGTAGGTAGAACTGTAAAGGAAGGAATATAATTTAATCAATTGGCAGATTGATTCTGGTCTCGAGAAGATAGAAAGGGCAGGAAGAGATTTGTGTATTACATATCATAAAGCTCTAGAGAAGTACTCAGGTCAATATGCGCATGAAATAGTTGACAGATTTCACTGCAGGGCGAGTATAAGAAAGAGAGGTAAAAAGTTGAACTGACTCTTTAAAGGCCGGTGTCTCGACAAGATTTACTTCCACAGCAGCACTTGAAAGCTTTCACTGGATGAGTATGATCGGTGAAGTCAATACCATAATCCTGCAATGTAGCAAATTTGTAATGATACTTAGTATATCTAAGTCAACAACTAGTCTAAACCAAATTATACTGATCTTTGACTTAACTCATGTTTCCTATATCAAAATGACAAAGTTCTAATAGTTATAGAGTTCAACATAGATAGGGGCTTTACCCAAGTTAACTCTTCTAAAGCATTAACTTTCCTCGTAGTGAAAAAAGCAATCTGCAGTGACATTAAAAAAAAATGCTTGCTGTAGTTATTGCACGGGTTTCTAAGTAACAGAGAGATACTTCAAAAAGCGTTAAGAGAAAGATAGATAACAAGTACATGGTAGTAGTGATGATCTGGAGTCTCTACTTCAACTGGGATCTCAATCAAGTTACCTTCATAACATCTGGTCAAGATAAAATTACAATGTGGTAAGTTTCAGTCCACATTGCGAAGTAAAAAAGAATCAATGCACTTTTCTTGAATGTAAATGTGATTCTTAGAAACAATAAAAGCAAAGAATGAGCTGTTGATCATGCAAAGAAGAAAAAAGGGACTTCTAATGGTGCTCAATTGGGGGTTTATTCCATGCCAAATGTACATCAAAAAGAAAGCCATAACAAAAGGAATCAATATGATTATTATATCTCTACATGCAATATATAGGGTTGCATCTAATTTTTACCTATCAGTTTTCTTTCCAAACTTGACGAACCAAGTAATAGAAACAAAGAGAAACATGTTGTTTGTTAGTAAGTAACAGCAGGTGGACATGAATATTATCTACTTTGTAAAAGAACTGTACAAAATACATATCACCGGTTTAATGTAACAGGGGAGAAGAAGAAAAAGAAGAAAGACAATTACAAAGAGAAAAGGATGAACATTAGAGCCTAACCTATGATTAATGAACCTTGCAATATTGCCATAGTATGTTGCATCCAAACAAAGTGCCTCCTCATCCTTCAGGACACCTTCCGAACCCCAGTCTGCATCTAGCAAAACCGGATATGTGTGTCTCTCACTAGCAGTTTGCGTGTTTCGCTCATACAACTCTGTGTTGGTCACTATTTCTCCTACATATTCACAAACAAAAGCACCTCTAGGCAAATCCTCCAGTGCCCTGAGACCCCAACCTTTCCCATCAGCTGTCATAAACACCTGACATGCAGGATAAGAATGTGTCAAACACTTCTTACTACTCTAGGTTTCTTCAGAAATATAGATCATGCACAAAACCTTTCTTTCCTTTTCGGATAAATCAGATCATTTATATTCACACCAAGATGGAAAAAACAATATATATTATAGTTCAACCACAAAAGATTACTCCCTCTGTCCCAATTTGTGGCACACTTTCCCTTTTAGTATGTCCCAAAAAAAAATGCCACATCCATATAATTAGAAATAACTTGACTTTAAAATTCCCCTTTTATGTCATACAAGGGCCTAAGGTGTGTTTTAGACCACATTTCAAAAGTCTCCCGTTATTTCTTAAATTTTATGTCAAGTCAAAGGTGCCAAATAAATTGGGACAGAGGGAGCATCATGTTTTCTCAGACCAATAATTTAAATGACTACTCCTAACATCATTCTCACTAGTACTGAAACAATCTCCTATTTTTTATGTTCATAAAGAGGCAAAGTTATGGTACATGAAACTCTTGGTTTGCAATATTTTTCTTACCTGCAATGGCACTGCTATGCCTCGCTGAATAACACGATTTCCACATCCCCTGCTGCAGCCACATTTATGCCAGCACTCTTTGATAAATTTCCTCACCAGATGACCCTTGCACAGGCCAGACACGCTATTATTCTTAGACCTTTCAAGGGGACAGTCCTGACAATATACTAAACCATGCTTTTGGGGTTCACAACTCATTGAGATGCAACTCTCAAGAAACTTCTCCTTGAGCAAACCACCTGATGTGTAGGCAAATTCACCCCCTGTTTCACCAGCACAAGCACAGGGTATATCTTGGGACAAACAATCCCCGCTGCAGTTTGAACAACAGCTGTCATCTGATATACGAGCAAGAAGAAACTTCACATATGCGTTTTGGAAAATAACATTTTTAGGTATGTACTTGAAGACAGGCAGGACATGGCTGAATGCATTAATCAACGAAATTTTATGCTCCTCTTGACCATTGGAGATGTCTTCAATATAATAAACAGAATTACGAAGACCAGGAGATGAGTGTTCACTTTGAACAAGCACTGAATTGTTCATAGTTGAAGAGGCAAGGAGTTTAAGAAGCTTGTTAGTGTTGTCCTTCTCAGCACCATTAATCCTTGTACCATTAAAATCCACCATGTAGCACATTATATCCCTATTTCCTGAAGCTGTAAATGTTGGAATTTGAGGTAAGATTTTGATCAAATTCGACAATTTGAATGAGCCATTGCTAGTGTCTGGAGCAAAGTGCAATTCATGATTAGTAGCATCATATCTGACACCTACTGGGTGAAGTTTCTGGGACCATATCCCAGCTGATGGCTCATTTGCTGTCCTGGTCCTGGTGCCAGCTGTCAGATAGCATTTACACAGATTTTCCATCAGACTTAGCAGAAAACCAGGTTGAGAAAATCTGTAGGACTTCATATACTTTTCCTCCATCCGCTTAAAGACTGCATCTAAACTTGGTGGGCAAAAATCTGATGAAGAATATATCTTATAGACAAAAGAGAGTTTCACTTCCCCGTTCGGGGTGGAAGCAATATTTAGTCGTGATGAATTTGTTGCATCTTCTTTATTTCCTTCTGTACCCAGATGTTCAGAGTTGAGACGCTCCAAGTCTTGTTTTTCAATTCAAAAAAAATATGACAGAATTAAACTTCTAGACTATAGATAACATTCGCATTTTGTAAGACTTGGAATTTGACTACAAAACCAAGAGGAAAAGAAAACAAAAAAAAATCCCAACTTCAGACATACAATTTACCAAAAAAAAAGAGAAAACTTATGACCCCTTCTGATTCAATAAATCTTATGTTCTTCATTCACATAGCTTTTTCCTTTTCATCAACCAAAAATATCATCGGGCTTACTATGAGCAGAAACTAATATGTAATTACTATAAACCATAAGAATCTTGCTGCTAGCTTATATGAAAGATAAAGCTCAATCGAGAGTGGAAGGGGTAGCTTTTTTTGTAAAAATTGTGTATACAAATATAATTTCACATCTTTGATTTGTATCAAGATCATTAGAGCTGGAACAAATTCATAGAACTTGCACTCAGAAAATTGTAATCATTGAAACTTCATAGAGAAGAAGAATATATCACTGGAGAAAGGATTGATATATAGCAGTATGACTTTGCTGTCTTTCTTTGGCTTTCATCAGTTAACACATTAACTTAAAAATATATAGTTATTGTTGTTAGCAAGTCAACTCCTCCGATATCTCTCCCTTTTAGTCAATAATTTCAATATTCACATCCTCAGTTAGTGAATAATCACCCAAACTAGCATAAATGACAGTCAAAAGAGACTATAAAGAAAAATACATCTAGAGGATATCATCAGAATGGGTATCAAAACTCACAAAAAAGAACAACCCGTTGACAATTTCAAAGTAGTAAACCATGTCTGGGGAGAGAGCAGAATAATCTTATAACAGTTCTCTATACATGGAGGGAATACCTGAAGGAACAACAGCAAGAGGAACATCAAAACCTGGCAGGGTATCAGAAAGTGGCATTGCATCACTGAAGCTATACTCAACCAGAGCACCTTCTTTGGATACATCAGTAGAACCCATAACATTTGGCTCTTCCAGGCTACTACTATAAGCTAGTCTTCTTTTGGGTTTCACAGCAGAATATAAACGAGATGTGTCTCCCCTTTTCTTTAGTTTCAAATGAGATGACAGAATACGAGTTTCTTGCTTGTCATCATCAGACAGTACTACAATGTCATTATCCTCCTCTGAAACAGGAGAAGCCTCTGAAGAAATCTGTTTCTTACCTTTGCGCTGATGATGGTTCAAGAGAAAGCGAGGCTTCATTTCAACATCCTGAGTTTCACAAGACTCGGTGGTGATATCAGCCATCTTCTGCTTGCCGTAAGGCTGCAACTCTGAAGTACATGTGTCAACACTAGGGCCGGCATCGTGTTTAGCAGCTGAAGAATGATTTCCCTGGGAGTAGAGCCTAGATCTTTTCAATGGTGGTTCATTTTCTTCCGGTTCATCTTCCATCGAGGATTTCTGCTTTTCCTGATCATCGGAGGAAATAAATGACATGCTTTCACATCGAAAATTTTTGAAAGGAAAGAATTAAAGATGAAGGAGCATCCTACTTTTCTATTTGTGCATGATATCAAGATAGATATATATATTACCACACATAATCTTCATAAAGGATTCACATGTCGCAAAGGGTATCATGTGGTTATGGACAAAAATAAGCACTGAATCATAAGTAACAACAATACCTTAGACTCTTCGCTGTCTATAATAGACTCCAAAAGAACAGAATAATTCTCATCTTCAATAAGCTTCCAGTTTTTGTTGTACAAATTCAGAAGGTTCCTCAACACTGGCTTCACAACTGTTTCACTATAGCCAAAAACCTTCATTGCCTCAAAGGCCTTTGTAACTCTAGACTTCGAGTTTGGCGCCATTTATTATACTAATGTAGAACTTTAAGGAGCTCAATGAGGTTAAGGTATATCTTCTTCCTTTCAATGCCCAAAAAAAACAGAAAAAACATTACATCTGCATTTAAACCACAAAAAAAAAAGCAGAAACAATGTCTGAATTTTACCAACATGATGACTGGAATAATTTATGCATAGCATAATAACTTATTAGATGACATTCCATGTTGAACGGTATTCGATACAGATCTATGAGAACTCCTGGCATTTTTTCAGAAGCTAATAGGAAGTACTATAGAATGTTGGTTTTATCAAATAACTACATGAATTTTTAAATAGAAAACAGATGATATTGTTAAGTATCTAACCGATATGTCATCATCATCAACAACAACAACAAACTCAGTGTAATAACCTCACAAGTGGGGTTTGGCGAGGGTAGTGTGTACGCAGCCTTGCCCCTACCTTGTGAAGACAGAGAGGTTGTTTCTGATAGACCTTCAGCTCAAGTAAAGTATAATAACAACAAGTATTGATAAACCGATACTTCATCATGTTCAGAAATTCCTAAAGAGATCAGTCTGAGACAGTATAAAAGAGTTGACTGCATAATAATCAGTTCATCAGTCATCATATATACGTCGTAACGCAATTTTCTCCCACTGTTCACTAAGTCATGTTTCATCACTGACATCTTCGCTATTACTATTTCTTTTAAACATCTTCTCTACAATCCTTTTAAACACGAGTAAGAGAAAAGTCATCTCATGACTGGAACTGGCGCAAGGCAAGGCATTCCACATTAATTATGTCCTTCAACCATCCAACACACCTAATCTTCGCCCCCTAACCCTTATTCTAGATTATAACAAATGTTTTTAAGAAAATATTTTTTCTGCTTACGTAACGGATACAAGAAAATAAGTATAGAACCTACTTATTTATATATTTTGTTGAACGTGATGTTCAAACCAGCTTTAACACACCTCAACTAATTCCATGGAATACTTGCCTCCCACCGGCAACAAGTACCACGAATCTCTATCCACCAAGTCTAGGACAGATAAGAACGGATCACCGACTATTTTTGTCTCCACTGAAATTTGAACCTGAAACCTCATGGCTCTCAACCACTTCATTGACCACACAATACACACCCTTGGGTGCAAGATCCCGACTTATTTTCCTAAAAAAACATTTTCCTTCATATCAAACACACCCTAATCCTCAGTATACATCAGAAACAAAACTAACGAGATATCACAGCATCAAAGAATCAAAACCCTTATTTAACAGATGAAACATAAAAATAGAAAATAATAATTGAAACAGAACCATGAACACCTTAACATGGGGAAATCAGAATCAAATTTTATACAAAAGCAAAAATACATAACAACGAAAAAACAAAATGTAGAATAGCACAGATTCCAAACTCCTCTGTTCTTCCATATCCAAACTCCTCATCCCTTAACCAGAGACCTCGAGTTCGAAACCTAGGTATGAAATAATTCTGTCTTGGTAGGAAGTGAGAAACCAAACAAAAACACACACAACAACAATAACAAAAAAATACATTTCAAAAGTTAAAATTTTTATATCATTTTCTTCATTTTTTCTTCTGCATGAAACCATTTTCACTCTCTAACATCAATGGGTTATATACGCCAACACAGAATCACTCAATGCAAGACTGACCCCAGTAGTTTTTCATCGAAATTCTTCCACAAATCTCAAAAAATCAAATAAAGTTTTCACCTTTTTACCTTAAAAAAAGCTTGAGGATCAAGAAACACTCATGTGGACCATACTCCAACGAATCGCGTTCATCTGAACTCAATAATTTTAACTTTTAAGCAATAAATATGAACCTATAACTTTATAGATATAACGATGGATTCAAGCCCTTTATAATTCAAATTCTGAATTCGCCTCTTCCGATACCTAAAAAAAGAAAAAGGATAAATCACTATACCTTTTTATGGAAAAGTTGAAGAAATAGCTTTTACTTTAGCATTTGGACTCCATCAAAAAATTCTTTTTTCAACAATGGTGAGAGATAAAAGCTCCAATAAGAATTTTCTATGTATATATATAAAACCAAATAAGTTAATTCTAAGTATAGTTAGTAAATATGATTAACTAATAAATGTATTTAATAAAAGAAATTTTTGGGAAATCTTATTCGTTGACTGAAAAATGTTAAAATTACCTCTGAATTATGTAAAAAAAATTATTTATATCTTCCGTTACATTTTGAAATCGAAATTGCCTCAATCGTTAGGTGGAGAGATTCGTCTCACTTGTCAGATTATTAAAAATTTTAACTTTTGAAGATATTTGTGATCTTTTGGAATAACTTTGAAGGCATTTTTTTATCTCAAAATGTAATGAAGGACGTAAATAGTATATATATTTTGCATAATTCCAAAGTAAATTTGACTTTTTTTCGTGAAATAAATTGTATGACATTCTATTTTATTTTCACAAATTAATGAAATCTAAATTTTGTACTTTTGGACTATAAACTTTGAATATATTTTTGTGAAATAAAAAGAAATTTCATATGACATAAATTATTAGATAAATCACGAATAAAATTTGTAAAAATATCTACAAAAGAAAATAGATATACTTTTTAGTTTTTACTGTCAATTGTATTTCTTTTTTTTCCTTTTTATTCTACAAATGAAAAAAAAAAGTTTGTTTTTATTTTGGAGAAAATGACATGAAACAATTTTACTGATGTTGATTATAGGTTGAAATAATAGTTTTCCTAAATTATTATTATTTTCAAAAAATACTTTTTTTAGACATGCAAGTAAAATTAGATATTATTTGTTTTATATATATTATATCGAAAAACTTGATTTACATATATTTGAGATGCACTGACTTTCTCCTCTCACGTCCCTTATTTCACAATGATTTTAAGTATTTATATAATTATCAATTTTATATATCAATGTATCTATAATCAATTTTATCTAATACTTTGTCCATATTACCTTATCCTATTTCAATATATTGATATGGCCAATACATTTAACTTATTAAAAAAGGGAAAAAAGAAATTGACATTTCATTAATTTTGTAACGATCATTATATTTCTAGCATAGTTATTATGTAGGCTGTTGAAAAATTGTTTGAGATATATTTGGAATTCTACGATAACATTTAAAACAGATGAATACTTATCACTTTATCACAATTTTTATTGATCGCCACTAAACTTTGATCAATATAGACCATCGATTGTTTCATCAAGACCGTTGATTTTGTAGACTAATCTTGACCACTCATCTTCACTGATCCAACGGTTCATATCACAAAATAAGATTCCCCAAATCTCTTATTTCCTGTTTGGGAAAACAATCTAAATCAAACAGAGGTTTACAGAACACTGCCTTTACCATTTCCTCTCAATTTGTCTCTTTTTACTCAAAACAAACACTGTCTTATCAGCTTTTCTCAAAGGTAATACTGCAAAATATTTACTCATAATAGGGGGAGAATTTGAAATTATGTTCTATTTGTAAAAATTAAATGTGTACTCGTATTATTTGACTATACAACTACACGTTTAATTTATTAATCACTAAGTCATATCCTTGAACACGTATAGTTGTGCTATTTGATAACAATCATGCTTGTGTTAACCTTTTTTTGGTCACTTTCATCGAAAAATGTGACCTTATTATAGGTATATTTTTCAAATTTTTTTTGTATATGTATACATAGTTCAAGCCAAAAGCAGTAAATTCAAAATAGAACATGTCCAAATGCCTATACTACAGTTCCATAACAAGGTCATTCATCAACAAGCTTGCTACTTCCATATGTAACACTTGACGCTACAACAAAACGAAAGATATAATACATAAACATAACCTAACTTGACTTCAATGGACAATTATGTCCTCCAACTTTGAGTGTGCGTAAGTAAGAACTGAAGCGTATATAAACTTAAACGAGTAGACACGCGTGTCCTACGCGACATAATACACATGAGATGCCATGTAGGACACATAATTGTCATGTAGAGTGTCATGTAGGACGAATGTGTCTATTTGTTCAATTTTATACAAGTTTACGTATCTACTTGTGCACACCCAAAATTAAGGGTCATGGTTGTCAACTGACGCCAAGTTAAGGGTCGTGTTTATGTATTATGCCTTAACGAAAGGATGAAAACAATTGCAACATAAACATAAGGAACCAAAGAGTTTAACCAACCGTCTTCTGACCCCACCCCACACTTCTGGGATTACATTGAACCCACACTTCTGGGATTACATTGAGTACGTTGTTATCGTTGATTAGCACAAAGAAGTTTACAGGATTGAGTTTTACCATTGACACAAAGTATGTCATCTTAGATGAGTTCCAAGAACTTGTGTAAAGAAAGCATGAAAATGCAGTGATTCATCAATATTGTCTACACTGTGAACATAACATCACACATGCTAAAATCAATGAGAAAGAGAGAGAGAGGCCTCTTACAATCAACGATAGACGATATTGAAACATAACTGAAGTTTCCGTTGATGCCTGAAAGTTGCACTAGAGATCAAAGGATCAACAAACCACTCAAGAATCAATATGTTTCGACTTTCATTAACTTAATCAACGGTACAAATGGATGTCCCCCCATCCAATAGACGATTTGTACACTGACCGCTGCTTCTAAAGTGTATCATTCATTACACTAACAAAATGATAATGTGAGCTAACAAACGAATCTCCTATCTAATACTCTACCAGCTAAGAGAGACAATCATATGTTATATCTTTGAACCATTTCTAATGGTCGATTTGTCTGACTTCTTTTAAAGAAAGAGAGCTATAACAACAGATACCATACTTGGTGTCATCTTACTTCACTTCCTGTACAGTTTCGGTCGTAGGAAAGGACTATGTCTATGAATGAAAGCAGCAGCTATGGCGAAAGACTGCAAAGCTGATAGAGTCGAATGAAAATGGATGTAATACAAACCATCATGAATATTCGACATTTTCATGACTGGTGCACTTTGTTTCAAACCCTGCAAAATCGTGGAAAAGAAAATCGGTTAGTGACATTTCAACATTCCACATATTTAAATGCATAGTTGCTTGAAGAACATAGAGAACAAAAACTTATAATGAGATAGACCTGTATATAGAGATCAAAAGTTTGACAGTCCCCGGATGTAGTTTGTGATGAAGCTTCATTCCCAGTTTTAAGAACTGTGAGGGGGCACCCGAGATCCCAGCCTCCACAATCACAGTGCCCACCAGAGCTCCACCGCTCCAACAGGCTTGACGGCCCAGCATGTCTGCTTCTAGGTCCACCATGAAAACCACTTGGAATTATAACATCTGTGCTTGTTGAGCAATCACTGGTGCCACGTGAACGACATTCCACCGATATCTCAGGAGGTGCATTTTTACTTCCAGTCGGAGATTTCTTGAGAAACTTCATACCCCAGCCACCCTTCTCTGCCTCCTTGGAGCTGTCATTAAGAGGATCTCTGGTAACAACGGCAGCCAGCTCAAAATTTGGCGGAATCTGCTGATCTAAAAGAGCATTGCCGCATGAATAATAATCATCATACATATCTATGGATGGCGTCCACGAAGCATCTTCAAGAATGGCGCTTGTTCCCCCGAACTTGGATAAGCTTCTCTGCTTATAAGACTGACTAGTTCTGAACACATCTGTTACTTTCTTTGCCAACTTTTTGTTCTTCCTGAGGATATGACTTGTTTGTATCTCATCCATATATTGATCCATGGAACCAAACACAACAAATCGCGTCTCCATAATCTCCAACTTGGTTGGGCTGAGTGTCACTGAAGTTGACACAGTCATTTTACCTACAAGTTGTGATTCCCTTGCAGAGAAGGCGCATTCCTTTTTGCTTTCTTGTCTTGAATGAAATGTGTAAACATAATCGAGAAACTTATCATCAGGTGAGTCAATCTCCAGCAGATCAGCTACATAAACTTCCTTTTTACCATCTATGGAAAAGACATAATGTGGTAAACCATTTTTCCATCTCCTCTGGAACATTCCTTGAGAAATAGGGGCAGCTGCTGAAAGACATGATTGATCTGAGCATGTCGAAGCTGTACTAGATACAGAAAGAACCCTTCTGTGTACATGCTCAGATCCATGATCTGTCATCTCCTTCTGTAGCTTCTGTGCTGAACTGACACTAAAACCACCGGGAGAGCTCATGAAATCAGAAAAACTTCCTTCTTCACTGTCATTTATATTTTCCTTTCCAGAATCAACAGTACAGTTAACAGATCCAAATTGATTAAGTAAGGGACTCTTTAAAATGTTCAGCATACTCTTACTACCAGTTATAGCACCAAGAATCCACTCCGCGGAGGAGTCAGGGACATAACTTGACTCAATCCCCACAGTTTGAGGACATTCGGTCGCCAGATTACCATTAGTGTGGAGATTTTCATTTCTAACCTCTCTTGAACCTGAACTCTTTGATATAATTTGCATCTTTGAAGAGAAGTTACATGTGGAGTGTATGTGTACCAATTCAAGGCAGCGAAGGAAGTATCTTTCGTCAAAACTTATTATATGCTTCGGAAGCTTATTTTGTAAGCCAAGAGAATTATGAAAGAGCAATTTCTGAGCGCAATTTCCAGTAAAATGCGGGTTTTCTAATCTACGTAGGTGCTGTGGTTCTAACTCTTCTATTAATCTTGTCGA